GGAGAAAACCAAAAAAAAAAAAAAAAAAAAAAAGGAGGGCAAGACTTATCCATTGGAAATGGACTGAATCATGGAAAGCAGGAGTATTAATTTTCTTCCACTTTAAAGGCATAATGAGTGATGATATACCTGATTTGAGATTGGACAGACTTCAATTGGTACATCCATCTTTCTAGACAACTCTTTAACTACAGGATGACGTGCCAAAGCAAAGCCATGACCTATACGTGTGGTGTTGAATAGAAGAGCATCCATGAGGTTCTGATCTACATCTGTTCCCTGTGAATCTGTGTGGGAAAAGCAAATGAAGTTACCAGATTTTACTATAGCAACTGTAAAAAAGAACAAGCACTCAATCTTTTTGAGCCTAAAGGACAACTTTGAGTTACACTGCTTTGTACCAGATGAAAGAACCAAGATGTCAAAAGAAACCTGTCTCTCCTGCGTGGAAAAAGTAGGGCAGGTTAACACCCCTGTCTTCAGGTAGACTCAAAGCGTCCTTGAAGTACCACAGAGGTCTTCCAAGGTCTTCCTGTCCTACCTGGAGTTATAAAATCAAATGTTTCCTTCAAAGTTTATTCACAAATTGTGTATTTCAGCAATATGCTCATCATACACTCACAAAGTCAAAGCCTGCCATGATATCTGGAAAGTCCCTGTGTAGTGTCATTGCTTCCTCTACTGTCTTCACCGCCTCAGTTGCATTTATACCCCTAAGAGCAACAGGAAATGAAATCGAATCAAATATTTCTAATGTTACAAAAGACTTCGATTTCAAATAAACACTGTTCTTTTGAACTTTCTATTCACCAAAGAATCCTAAAAAAATATATATATCAAGGTTTCCACAAAAATATTAAGAAGCACAACTGTTTTCAACATTGATAATAATAAGAAATGTTTGTTAAACACCAAATCAGCATATTAGAATGATTTATGAAGGATTATGTGACACTGAAGACTGGATTAATGACTGATGAAAACTCAGCTTTGCATCACAATAATAATTTACATTCTAATTTACAACGTTTCTCTCACCTGTGGACGGTAAAAATCACTTGAGCCCCTAGGAAGTCTGGGAAGTTTGCTGTAAATCTTTTCACAACGTCCTGGCAGGCCCCCATACTCCAGTCCTTGTTATTTAATCTGCCATCAAGTTCATATGTCTTGAAATTATAATAAAAATGAGCACATTTTAGTATTTATTTACAGTACACACAATTTTTAATTGATTTTCTTTATTTTTTTAAGGGGAAATTCATCCATACCGCTGGCAGCAGCGCCCTGATTTCCACATACATGATGTTGTCCTCATAAAACTGTCTGAGACCTTCATAGAGGTAGTCTTTAAACACAGGTGCATAGGTGACCAACCCGTAGGCCACCAAGAATGCCTGCTCAAATCTCTTCCACACAGTTTCTTGCCTAGGATAGGCTCTATCTGGGTCCTCGGTGAAGAGTGTGAGATTTCGATTGAAACTGTGGAGGCAAATTAACATTTGAGACAAACATCCCTCACCTCCAGTCTCAGATTCACTGCCGTTTTTTCAGCATATACCTGTTGTCCAAATCAGTGCTGTTTTTAATCTTCTCCCTGAGGGATCTGAGCAAAGTCCATGAGGAGCAGCGTGGACGAGACGCAGGCTGCCCAGAGGAGAAGATAAACTGCACGGTCTGCTCATCTGTGAAGCACACGTAGCAGTTATCTCTGTAGGTCACGTTCTTCACCAGCCAATCCACACCCACCATAGCAAAGTCATGAACATGCAGGGCGGCACCTGGACAAAAGATCAGATAAATCATCATACTTAAGCCTAGGTGGAGTTTAAATATTTTGTAGTGTCTTTCTGGCAAAAGTCATAGTTAATAGTTAGTGAGAAATGGACCTTAAAATAAAGTGTGACCATACATATATATATACATACACACACACACACACACACACACACAAACTACTCAATGAGTCTGCATTATTAGATTACAGCACCTTTAGGCATCTTCTGAAGCAAACTAAACACAGGACTTTGATCAATGAAGCGCTTAGCCTTGAAGAAATGCATGGACGGTGGGAAGTGTCCTGCTTCCATATCATGCTGCTTCAGTTTCTGAAGCTTTCTGTCAAGCAGTTTCTCTCTCTCGTTCAGTGTTATGTTGCCTCCTGTCCGTCTAGATGCTTCCAGCCTTATCAGAGCCTCCCGCTTCCTGGGATCTGGTCCACAGTTACATGATGCACACCACAGAAACAGCATCCATATCCGCATCAGGTCTCTTAGTGTCACCGCGTGCATGGCTGTGATGTAATTCAACCACAGATCTCTGTGCTATTGATGAAAAGTAATAAACAAGTAGCTGGTTCATTTTTTAAAGGTCCACCAAGTGATTTTTTTGTTTATTGCGCCAATGACTGATATGATGGTATTGTATTTAATACTAACAGGTGATGAAAAATAAATTTAATAGAAACATGTTATTTACAGATGCATTTCTCACTAATGATTCATTTGTAAAATGTGTTAATTTCTAATTAAATTAAAGTAATTAGTGTATAGCTAGTAACATCGTGACCACCGCAAGGAGGTCCACTCTTACGTAGAAAAAAAATCCTAATTTTTTTCCTAGAAGTGTAAATCAATTGAAACATAATTAATGAACATATTCAATTTATGTTTTAAAAGACACACACACAGAAGAAAAAAAACTCATTAGAACATAGCTGTTAATTTTACTGGTCTAGGCTGAATGTACTAGCAGTATTACGTGTATTTGAAACTGCAGAAAAGGGGATTTGCCCACTGCTTGCACTTCTTTTTTTTTTCTTTTTTTTACTTCTTTTTTAACTCTCACAACAATAGATTTACCTTGAAGTAAGTCTCAACCTTCAACCACCAGTTTCAACCATCAGCTGTCAGCTGTTGGAAACCGTTTACTTCTCTGAGCAAAATATAAACTAACACATATGATATAAATGAAATCTATCAATCCTGCTAAAACAATGTGACCATCTGTTACAGACCCAATTACTTGTAAACAACCCACATGCCATGACACAGCGGTCTGTAGAGCTGTAGTCCACCTATTATCGGTCATGATTAAGTCTGTCTAGCTGTTGTCACGTTTTTTTAATAATGCTTATATAGTTTATAAACGTCCTGACATGCCTTTCGAGTTTCGAACGATTTCATTGCGAATTTACTTAATTATCCAATAAGAGTTTTTCACCAAGCACACATTAAACCGCATCAGTAACGGTTACCTGAATAAAGCCCAAAAACGTACAGAAAAACAAATACCTTCCGAAACGAAGCGAATTAGAACAAGTCTTACGCCGTATCTCTACAACGACACCAGGAACAAAGATGCAAGTTCAAGTTGTTGTATTTAACCGAGCTTGACCGATTTACCCCACTGACTTCCACAACAGAAAGTGACGCCATGCCTTTCCTTGAAGCTCATTGGCTACGCTGTTAGCCAGTGCGCGAGAACATAATACATGCTGAGGACGAATGCCTTGTCCAAATACCCACACATGCGGTCTTTGCACTTGACCACTTGAACACTTATATGACGTATTTCCTGTATTTGGCCCAAGTGTTCAAGTGAGGATGAAGACCACAAGTGTGTGTTGAACTTTTCATTACCTGATGGGACAAGTCAAGTCAAGTCAAGTCACCTTTATTTATATAACGCTTTTAACAATACAGATTGTGTCAAAGCAACTGAACAGCCTTAATTAGGAAAATAGTGTGTCAATAATGCAAAATGACAATAGTAAACACTAATTTTTCAGTTATTAACTTGCATTGGAAAGGTTTCCGTGACCTCTCGCGAGATCTCGGGAAAAAGTCTCATGATTTATTTCCTGAACATGATGCACATGGGATACACGAAGCCTCGAATAGTGCTCCGGAGCGGTATTCGACATAGTGCGGGTTTAGTGTGCGTTAAGGGCACTGCGCTCTGGCGTTTTTAAGACCTAGGACAGTCTTGCACACTTACTTCCTGTCGCGCGCACACGCTCTCAAGTGGGCAAGACCGCAAGTGTGGGTATTTGGACAAGGCAAAAGACTTGTATTTAAAGGGGTCATATGACGTTGCTAAAAAGAACATTATGTTGTGTATTTGGTGTAATGCAATGTGTT